TGTGTGTGTGTGTGTGTGTGTGTGTGTGCGCGCGTGTATGTGTGTGCGCGCGCGCACGCATGTGACTGCGCGGATGGCTCGGCGCTACCTCCCCCATGAGCACGGCCGCCCCCTGGGGCCTGGGATTGGACACCCCTTCCCACTGCTCTTGTCCCCCAAGCTTGATGGGACTGGCACGCAGGAGTGGGCGGGGGAGGGACTTCTGAGTCTTGCCAAGCTGACAGTGCTCCCCTCCTTTGCCCCCATTTCTTTAACCTTCCTGCCGTTTTAAACCTTTACTCTCCTGCTTGTCCATCAGGGGTTTATCCCTAACGTCCTGCCTCCGACTTGTTTTCCAAACAGGGAGTGGTGAAAATGGAACTCAAGGTCTCTACTGCCACTCCTTGCTGGTTTCCATGGGGTTGGGGTGCAGGAGGGGCTGGCCCAGGGCTTGGGGGGGCTATTTTTAGCAGCAGTGGCTTTCGGGTGCACAGATAGCTGAGTAACCAGCTCCCAAGCAATGGAGAGGAGGCGGTGGCTTTCAGGAAGCTTTTGTGAGATTCTGGGAGAGAGCTGCTCCCCCAAGCTCAGAAAGGGTGACCCCTCCACCTTTAACTCCTTAAAGTACTGCAGTCCAGGGCTAATGCAGCTGGACCGAGGTCTGTTTTGGCCACCTAAGCTACTTCACCACTCTCATTCTAGATATTTGTCCTTGGGAACCTGTGGAGACCCCTACACACATATAGCAGGCCCTTGACCCCAATCCAGAAGCCAGGATCTGGGGGTTAGACTATTCTGTGCCCATAGCTCTGCCCAACCTTAGAGAGGACAGAATCCAGTGCTTATGCACTTGCACTCTTACAGAGGGACGATAGAGGAGGAGTGGTATACTCCCTTGGCAAAACAAATCCCCTAGCAACTACAGATAAAAGTGGTCTCTATTTCCCAGTGTAGGGTTCCCCCTCACCACCACAATCCCAGTTCACTTAGCCCCTGTGTCAGTGGAGCTCACCTTTTGGGTTCATCTTGTCCTAGGGGGTTGTTGCTTACATCCACAAGATCTCTCTCCATAAGCTATACCAGGTGTCCCCTGATTCACCATGGTAATGTTAGTGGCAGCACAGCCCACGCCAACCCTTCCATGCAGAGACTTAGCAACCATGCCTGGCAACCACGGCAGCAGCTCCAGTGGAAGGGAGGGGTGCAGGGAGATGGAAAGAGAGTATGGCAATGGTTCCTCAGGAAGAAGGGACAATTTGCCTCCCCTCAGACGGATATGTAAGATTAGAAGCCTGTGAGCTTCATCCCTTATTTTTCTTTCAGTTCCATCCTCAAGTCAGTCTGCAACTGACTGGCTGGGGGAAATGCACATGGAGTCCTTTGGGTACAGACCCTTCCTGAAAGGGGCCAGAAGTGTTGTTGTGGAGTGGGGACAGGACATACTAAAAAAAAAAAAGAAAAAAAAAAGCACAAAACCCAGGCCTCCTGAGAGAAGCTAACCATCCCTGTCCCATCCACTTCCCACCTTGATTCCCTTCACCTACCAGCTGCACTGATGGCTCTGCTTGAAGATGCTTCCATCCACCCTGGATCCCACTAGAATCCTGCAGCTTTTTAAACCCCTGCCTCCCCCCAGACAAATCCTCCTTCATGAGGGAATGTGACATAAGGAGACATCTGTCCTTTCCACCATGCACCCACCCCCACACACATAAACATACTCTGAATCTAATAACTTAGAAATGTCCCTCTCCCAGCTTTGGGAGTATGCTGTGAAAGCTGAGAAGAGGTGAACACAGAAGCAGGACCCTTACAGGGGTGCAGCAGGGAAAGCTCAGCCGCAACAAGTACCTGCTTTTCTCATCAGGAAGCCTCATTTGTATGGCTGGAGGTTCATCAGAAGGTTCAGGCACGTTGGAGGGAGGGCCCAGAAATTACTCTGAAACTGTTGCTGGTTTACTTGGATGGAAAGCTATGAGACCTGCAAGGCAGTGGAGACAGTGCCCAGAATCTGACTCACACCCTAGTTTGGCAGTCCTTGTAGTGTTTGTCCGAACCACTGTTTCTGTCCACATGGTTTCAGCACAGTGAACAGGTCTGATGGGGTGACCATGTTGCTGCTGTACCTGCACCTCTAATTTATTCTTACCCTAGAAGGCAACTGGCAAAGGATTATAAATTACGAGCCCAGCAAAATCCAGCCACAGCCCTGCCTTCCCGAAGGCAAGAATGGTGGCAGTTCTCTCTGCCCAAATAGAAACCTTGGTCTGTCCACTGTCTGGAGACCTAACACTGGTGAGATTTTTCCTGAGGCTTCTCCTGTGATCCAGGCAGAGGAGAAAGAAAAAAAGGGAAACGGCAAGGACTAGGGTAGGAAATAGCTGAAAAAGGAGAATTAGAGGTAGTAAGCCAGGGTAATGGAACAGCAGCATAAAATCTGGAGCCAGAGCATTTGGGAACAAATCCTAGCTTTCCTTTTTATTGGCTGTGTGGCTTTGGACTAGTTTCCTAGCCTCTCTGTGCCTCAGCTTTAAAAATGTTAAAACTAGAATAGTATCCAGTGCTGTCCCAAGGACTAACTGAATTTACACAGGTTGAACATCCCTAATGAAAATATACGAGGGCTGGGGATTTAGCTCAGTGTTGCCGCCTGCTTCACAAGCGCAAGGTCCCAAGTTTGATCCCCAGTACCAAAACAAAAATAACCAAAACCAAAAAAACAAAACAAAAAATGTGAAAGCTGGCTAAGTGTGGTGTAATACGTGCTATTCCAGAGGCTAAAGCAGGAGAATTGCAATTTTGAGGCCAGCCTGGGCAGCTTTGTCTCAAAATAAATTTTAAAAAGGAGCCTGGGGATGTAGTTTAGTGATAGAGCATATATGCACAAGGCCCCTGGTTTAATCCCCAGTACTGAAAAAAATTCTGAAATTTAACATGCTCTATAACTTGAAACTCTTATGGTTCCAAACACTTTTCATAAGCTATTTAACCTGTACTAGTAAAACAGTAAGAATGATACCTGGAGCCTTGTTATATATGTGTATGAGTGCATGCGTGAGTGTGCACGCGTGCGTGTGTGTGTATAGCTATGTATCTATGAACGAAGAAAGGCTGAAGAAATTGTGTTCATCAGCTGTAAAAATCAAATACTGTAACACCACGATAAGATTGTTGTCATTTAATTAGATCTGCCACAAAAATGACCTTGACTAACCACTCTGCCCTCCTCCTCCACCTAACCATTTCACTTCATGTGCACACAGCACAGGAATGCCAAAGCCGTCCTCCCCACAAGCCTGCCCACTCAAGTGAGGGCAAGAGATGTCACCAAACGGACTCAGCCTTCTCCATACAGCACGAACAGGAAGAATAAAAATATCTCTATGACGAATTTGTTGTGCTGTTATATTACGGCAGAGCCAGGACAGAGGTAAGAGCAGAAGCAGGGTGAGGTCTAGGGATCTCTTAGAGATCAGCATTTGCCTGTGGAGCAGAGCTTCTGTTTCACCCAAAAGGGGGCTATGCCTAAGGAGAGGGTTAGGACCAGCTAGGCTGAAAGTTCTGAAGTTTGCATGTGAGGATAGGGGCAGCTAAGATCTTTTTCTCCTTCTTCTCCTTGTCTCCCGTCTTCTGGTGGTAGGGTGGGGGATCCTGCACAGGGAAAGTGTCAGTGCAATTCTCCCAGGGTTTCATCTGCTTCCCAGAGCTTCCACGAGGTGGTGAATGGGGCATATCCCGATGCTGCCTTGCCCCATCCCCCTGCTCAGGGCTTCTTCTCTCCACCCGTGAGCACCAGGGCCTGCAGGATGTCAGACAGTGACACGATTCCCTTGACCACATCATTCTCATCCACCACTACCAGTCGGTGAACCTGGCACAGAACAACAGGGAGAAGGGATGTTTAGAGCCAGCCTTGGTAAGAATGAGCCCGTATCCCCTACCCCTCTCTCAAGCCAAACCCCAGCTCCTCTAGGCTGGTCCCTACCTCAGCCTCCACCAGCCTGTTGATTATGGTCTCCAGAGTCTCATGCAGGTAGCACTTGAGAACACCCTCAAAGTAGTGTGACCGATGCTGGAGGGCTTTGGTCACAGATATGTCTAAGTTGTTGTAGGTCTTTTCTGCTGCCAAATTCTGGGGAAAGAGAGGAAGGACTTGCAGAGAAGCAAGGGAGCCAACCCTCAAGCTAGAAAGATTTAGGGCAATTGTCAGCCATGCCCACAATCCAAAACCAGCTCATTCAATTCCTTTTTTTTTTTTGGTACTGGGGATTGAACTCAGGACCTTATGCTTTCAAGGCAGGTGGCAGCAGCACCACTGCGCTAAATCCCCAGCCCATTAAATTCCTTTTCAAATAGGATTTGAAAGCCTGGTACTTTCCAAGACATTTAGGTCAAAAAGAGACTCCCTTCTCCCTCTCCACATTCAACATCCCCTGCCCTTCCCTACTTCCCAGCCCTTCCGCATCACTCACGATAACATCAAACTTGGAGTAGATGTCCACCACGCGCCCTAGGGGGACAGAGGCAGCTCAGCAAGGAGGATCTGGCCTCCAAGGTTCCCCTTACCCACAGAATTGCCCTCCAGGCTGAGCTGAAGGGAAAGCAGATTTTCCCAGAGCAACCTGATCCCTGGAGCCCTCCCTCCCTCCTTTCTAATCTCTCACCTTTCTCATCCACCACTGGCAGTGCTGAGACTCGGTGCTGTACAAAGATGCCCAGAGCCACGTAGACAGGGGTGGTAGTGCGGACCATAGCAATATTGGCATAGGTGCCAATCTGTAGCTCTTCCAGAGACTTAGACATGAACTCTGGCTTGGGGAACTCAGTGATCTGAGAAAAGAACCATTAGCTTCACTTTTTTTTTTTTTGGTATCGGAGATCGAACTCAGGAT